TATGACTATTGCAGCATTCTCACACTCCATATGATCAAACTTGGGGTACTTGGCAATTGGCATATATTTACGATAGTTGCAGCATCCCGAGGATCTGGGATTGTCATTTGAAACTTTCTTAGGGAGCTTCTGACAAGCTAAGTCAATGGGGAAGCCAGATTCATTTAACAACCACAGGATTCACTTCACAATTCACACAAGAACCCTGTCAAAAAAAGGTGGCAAAATGGGGCAGGACTTACTTAATAACTGTCTTGCTTGCAAAATAAATTTTGAGGTCAATTATGGTCATGAGTTGAGGGATACCTGTGTTTATGGATTTAAGGCCTGCTTTTTCTTATTTTACAAAGACAATACTTTGCACTGTACTTTTTAAAAGGATCTGTTTTCTTTGTGCATTGCCCTGAAAATACAACCTGACATTGCAGATTAAATGGTCTATGCCATTCGTAATTACTAGTCTTAAATTTCTGTATGGTTAGTGTCTTAATGTGTATTATCCTTGGCGGATATTATTTTAATAGCACAAATATTTTTCTTTAAACTTTTTCAGATGAAAAAATTGTACGAAAAATGCGTGATCTTCAAATGAAAGTGGAAGATTATGATGTTGTTAAAGTGATTGGAAGAGGAGCATTTGGTGTGGTACAGCTGGTAAGAACTTAATATCAACATAAAACAATTGGGTTTCCATTAATTCTCTTAAGAATAATGTCTTTCTTTATGGCCACACTCCTTCATATTAACTTGCCTCAAGTTTCTTAGGTTAGTGAGTAATCTCAGAATAATTTAAAGTTATGTATACATAAAGTAAATTAAACCATAGGCAAATATAAATAATGTGATTTGAAGCAGAAGTACATATTAATTTACACTGATAAGTATGAACTAATTATGGATTACCAGTGCGTTAATAGAAAGTTTGTGAAGATTACAAAATAGTGAATGACCATTTTTTAAAAAGAAAAAAAAATAGATAATTAGATAGGCAGATAAAAGAAAGTATGACTTTATGCAGCGCATTGACATGGAATCAGTTACAAAATTTAATGATGGTGAACAACCTTGCTATATTGGATAAATTGTGGGATGATGAGGGAATTAGTGGCCTGTTGCCATGATTGCATATTATCTCCAGTAATGGAAGCATTTGTTTATTGATTCCAGTTATGAGAGTGTATTGGTGTGTTTGTCTGTTTCTGTTTTGTGGTTCCTGCTGGCATTTTATTGGTCATTATGGAAAAACACTGTTGGACAATAGAAATCTGTGGTCAAATTCAACAAAGCCGTTTTATATTTTTATGTAGAAGATTGGCAAATCAGCCTGTAATTATTAGACATACTGTGTTTTCCCGAAAATAAGACAGGGTCTTATTTTCTTTTGACCCCTGAAATAAACACTTGGCCTTATTTTCAGAGCGGTATTATTTTTGAGGTGCAGGAGGCCGCTTAACCTCGGCCCATGATTCAGAGAGGGCTGGAAGTTGCGTCTCTGTTTCTGGTACATTCTTACCAGCCCTAGCATCGCTGGGCCTGCTACTCTTTTTGCGGCTGCCACTAAGAGAAGGGGCACGGTAGCTAGGGTTTGTGGGAGCGGCCTCTGCGAGGCGGTTCCATGTGGATGGCAGGTGCATGTGGGACATGTTCCTCCACCTGGAGGAGGGCCTTCTCTGTGGCTGCTCCGGCCCTCTGGAACGAGCTCCCCGTGGAGATTCGGACC